AGCCAGAGGGAAAAAATCCCAAGCAGACACCTTGATTGCCCTGACACTACCTGTTCTGCACTCCAATTTCCACGCTTCTCAGTCTGAATAAGGCAGCTTTTTATGCACTGTTTTATTACTGCAGGTAACACTGCACACTCTCAGCAACAGGAGCAAAGATTTTGGTGAAAGCAAGTTTGTTTGTCTGAGGGTTTGGTTTTTTTCCTCTTAAAAAAAAACAAAACCAAAAAAACCCTCCTCATTTGTAACTGCATATTCCTCGCCAGCCCTCACCTCAGTCAGCCAAAAATCACATGAGGTCTTTCTGAAAAACTAAGTTCTGTGCAACAAAGTTATTAACTGCTGGGAAAGGCAGGAAAGCTTTTTTACAGCTGTTCATTGATCCACTGAACCTCACCTGACACTCCGTAGCCCCTTTTGGATCCTGCAGACTTCTGGAGTAGGCTGAGTAAAAACAAAAACCTTGGCCAGAGCAGTTATGCTGCTTCTTGAGTCATGTTTTTTTTGGGTTCAGACCTCAGATTCTCAGCCAGCAACTTCTGTCCCTGGTGGAAAATTAAAAAGAAACAAAAAAAAAAAAAAAAAAAAGAAAAAAATCAAACCACCAGGTTTTTCTGCTTTTCAGGAATCGAGAGAACAAATATGAGTTTCTAAGGCCTTTGCAAATGATGCGGATTGATCCCAATGCCCCGGTGTGCTTCCATCCAAGAAGGGAGTTATTCTGATAAAGTCCCAACCATCTCTGCCTGCAAGTCCTGCCATCAGAAGGGCAGAGCAGCACCTGGCTCCGAGCGTGCTCCCAGCCACACGCTGCTGGGAAGCGGGAGAGGAGCAGCCTGGCCGTGCCAGCTCCCATTCGGCACCGGGGCCCCCCAGGCTCCCTGCAAGGCACATCCTTGTGCACACGCAAGTCGTGCTCCCACAAAATGGGAGAGCTTGGCCCACCTGATGCTGAAGTCTCCATCACCGATGCTTGAGCGTGTCCATGAGCCTTGGAAACCTTTTACAAGGGCACTACAGCTTGTGCCAGTTACTCCGGTTTCAAACGGGCACACGTAAGCCTTGGTTTAGGGAACTGGCTGTCATCCTGCAATGAGCAAGGCCAGAATTAATTTTCTCTATTTAATTTATGACTGGATAGTTTTATTCTAAAACTGTACGTGGATGCTTGAAGACCAGCAGGTGGATTTCATCTGTACATGAACCGTACAGAAGCAGTACTGTTCCTGTATGCTCTCACAGGAGCACACCATCCCTCACGCCCAGCCTGCTGCTTATCTTCCTTTCCTCTTTCCCTTCTAAATGGCACAGACAGCTGATGAAGAGCCAGGCACTCACCTTGACCCAGACTCGAAGCTCCATCAGACTTTCGCAGCAGGAACAGTGAGGTTTGAAATGAGAGGAAAAGCTTGGCAGGTGCTCCCGGGGGACTGGCCAAAAATAAATGCACTCTCCAGTTAATTTCCATCCGAGTACTACTAACATTTCTCCTGTAAGAGTGCCGCTAAAGCATTTGATTTATACAAGGCGATGCAGTTCTGTATTTGTTTGCAGTCACAGCGGCAGACCCAGCACGCAACAGGGAACATTCAGAAACATTTTAATCACCTGTGTAAGGTGTCCGTGCTCCCCATACAGACAAGGGATCTTTTAGGGTGTGATTCGCTGTAATTAGGAACCTAACTCTCACCTTTGATTATAGCAGGAGTCTAGACATCTAATGTTGGCTGAGAAGTGACAGACTTAAAATAAGCTTGTACAAATATTCCCCAGTGCATCGGTTCTGCAAGGAACCAGACCGGAGGCTCTCTGGGAAGAGGGTTATAGCGAGTAGTGCTCGGCACTTGGCAGCGATGAGCAGCAGGTAAGTCTGTTTACAGGGAGCTCTACTCAGGCGTGACTTGCACAAGGCAAGGCACTGCAGCCAGCACAGAGTGCTGGGGGGAACTGAGCCCCGAAGCCGCTTCCCTCCGCTCAGCTGCTGGCACTGAAGGAGGAAAAGTCTCCTGGATCTCAGCTCTGGCGCAGGACCAGAGCCGGCAGCGTGGCGACCCGCCAGCCCATTGCCCGGGAAAACACTCCTGCCTTCTCCACGGTGATGCAGCTGTGACAGAAGAGCCAGGGAATATCTCAGAGTCTGGTAGCCGTGGGCTACAGGGTGTACAGGGTGGTGCAGACTGAGGGCTGCTTGTAGCTCTGCCATCTCATAGTGCTGCTCGTTTTTTTTTTTCTTTTTCTTTTTTTCTTTTTAAAGGAACCACTTGGATCATATTAATCAAGACTTTAGAAAAAAAAAAAAAAGGCATCTAGAAGATTTGACCAGATGTGGTCTAGCTTCGTAAAGGAATTTAGAAGACCCCCAAATTAGCAATTTTTTTTTTTACTTAGAAAAGAATTGTATCTGGAAACAGGGCTATAAAACAACACCTTAGGCAGGAGACACTCACAGGTGGAAACGTAGTTCATCCTCTGAAATTGCTCACTTTAAATTGTGTATTTTTATTTTCCAGATAACTGTGTGGCAAGGCTGTACATTGCTACATGACAGCTCGTTCTGCTTTTAAAACAGCAGCACTTCAGTAGCAGCTAAATTGATGCTTTTTATGTGTCCATCACTTACCGAGGGTAATTGATTAGTGCCTGTGAGGGGCTCTGAGATCTAACGGTTTACACGTTCTGAGCCTGCTAAATTATTTGAACAGATTTAGGAAGAAAAAGATTCTAAATCAGATTTTTTGTGTGACCCAGCATTACCTTTCCTAATCAGTGCTCCCCCTGCCCATATATTTTGCTCGGATAGACAAAAGTGTGCTAAGCCCAGGGAGCAGATGTTCAAAGGCAGCAAAAAGAACTGAGCATGATACCTGTTAAAATATAACGGGGAGTAATATTGTCCCACTGAAAGTTTCTCCGATGGCTGTTTATTCTGCTCCTCAGAGATTACAGCTTTAATCTAGCTCAAGGGAAGAAAATGGAAAGGTCACAGCTCCGTGGAGCTTGGAGGAAAGCGATCCAACAGGAAGGCAGCAGTGCAGCCCTGGGAAACATGTTCGAGGCTCAGCCTCCCAGCACATCCTTTGTGGTGAAACTGGAAGCATTTAAGCCTCGGCTGCCTTAAACACCGCCCGAACCAAGAATAGCCTGGGCTCCTGGGCGCAGGTCAGGCGATGCTGAGTCACTTGCTGGCCAGGCCCCAGGCTCTCCAGCTGCCTTGGGCTCAGCCTCCCTTAAAGACACAACTTGTGCCTGCTGCACACAGCCCCAGCTCCAGCTGGGCACGGCCAGCCAGGGATGGCACCCTCGGATGCCAGGAAGTTTAGAGACAGAAGCATTATTCCGATACGAATTCCTGGTTCGTACCGCCCTATTTCCCTCCGGCTTCGAAGCGCAGCACTGCTGCTGCCTTCCTGCCCATTCAGTGCTACATTCATACATCTCTTTGTAATTATGAATCAACTCACAGGCAGCGGTGCACAGCCTGGGCTCACACAGAACGGCAAACAATATACTGTCACGGGTTGCATCAGCTGCACGATGCTCTCTCATGCCTTCAGGCTTGCTAAAGCTGATCCAACGCTAATATAATAATAGCCTTTTTACCCGCCTCCTCCCCCAACAACTACCAGAGGCTTGGAAAGCCATTGAAATGCAAATAGCACATGGAGAGGTTATTGGGGAACCAGGCTGGGAAGGTACAAATGCTGTCCTGCTACTTTAATTTGCCTTGAACGGGACTGAAATCCTGAGTTTCTCTTTGTATAAACAGGGAGAGAGGCAATATCGTGAATATACAAATGTCCTCGTGTAGCAGCTGAACTGCATCTCCTCCAGCATCCCTTCTCTGTATCTGGGACCCTTGTAACTCCCCTTAGTTCCTGCACCAGCAGAGAGAATTGCACAGCACAGAAGCAGCTGCGATGGCACGACACCAGCCTGCCCAGCTACATTAACTCACCGAAACCCGTACCCAGACCTTCCCCCGGAGCGTTGGTGGAAGGCAAGGCACTGGGGAGCCTGCAGTTTGCTGTGTGGCCATAAAGTCAGCAATAATCATCCCTCCCCGTTATCCCACCGCATGCTTCGACCCAGGCACTGCTAAGGAGGACAGTAACTCCCCCATGGTCATGGTCTGTTTGCCTACCATCTTTTCAGGTAATGTATCCGGTAAGGACAAAAATGGGCTTTCTGGACCCAAGGCAGCCCTGACACTTGGCTGGAGCAGCCGGGAACAGCGCTGTCTCCCAGCTGCTGTGAGGTGCCTTGGGACTAGGATAACCCAAACACTTCTTCAGGCTCTCAGTCCCCACTAAAGCTTCAGGAATTCCTCCATAAAATAGACTGCATCCTCACCCCCTATTCTGTAGCAAAACAAACTATAAATATCACAAAGAAGATATTTACCGTGCTATTAAAAAATTCCCTACCCCCGTTCAAAAGACCTAGAGAGAAGAGGGTCCAGCCCTTGGTGCACAAGGGGCAGCTTGCTTGCTTTGGCGAGGAAGCGGCTGAGGACAGATCTATTAGCAGTTTACAGCTACTCAAGGGCAGTTATTAAGATGACAGAGCCAGCACAGCTGGGGGTTATGATCAGTGGGAGGGGCAGACTGAACCCAGGAGAATCTTCTTCACAAGGCAATGGGGCAGCACAGCCGTCGGTCACCCAGGGAGGTGGGGCAGCGTTCAGCCCTCGAGGTTTTCGGCTACCCCCCCCCCCCCGAGATTTTCGGCTGATGTAACCTGGTGTCCGTGGGTCCCGCTCCGAGGGGGCCTTTGGGTTGGAGACCTCCAGAGGTCGCTTCCAGCCAACAATTCCATGGCTACGTAACCTCCATGTTAAACACTTGGCATTAAAGGGTGAAACTGCAACACCTCCTTTTCCCATATTTTCCCTGGAGCGGCGCAAAGCACCCACGCAAGCACCATTGCTCCATCCTCGGCGATCCCCCCGGGGAGAGAGGGGGGGGGCCGCGGGGACTCCGCGGGGCCGGCGGGAGGAGCGGGGGGCGGATGCGCCGAGCGCCCGCCCATCCCCGGCGCGTCCCGCCCCGGCGGAGTCGGGAGCCGAGCCCGCGGCAGACGCAGCCCCGCCGTGCCATGGCCGGTCGCCGCCTCCTGGGGCTGCTCCTGGCCCTGTCGGCGCTGCTGGGCGCAGGTAGGGCACGGCCCGGCCGCGGGCACCGCGGGGAGGGGGCGGCCCGGGGGGAAGGGGGGCCCCGGGGGGGCGCGGCGTCGGGCCCGGCCCAGGCTCGGCGGACCCCCCGCCCCTCCGCCCGGGGTACCCCCCGCGGGATGCACCCCGGGAGCGGGCGCGGGGGTCGCGCACACGCCCCCACGCCCCCATCGCCGCCGTGGGGGGCTTCTCGCGGGGGATGCTTTCCCCGCCAGCGCGCAGCCTCCCCCCGGGGGTCTCACGGGGCCGGGGAGATGCTCCCCGAGGGGCGTCGTGGGCTGGGAGGGTGCACCCCCGGGGGATCGCCCCGGGTACCCCCGGGGCCCCGCCTTGCGCAGGGCACCCCGACTCCGCAGCGGATGGCGGGGTGCCAGCCTGTGCATGGGGCCGGGCCGAAGACGATCCTTGTCCGCTCTCCTCCTTCCGACCCCCACCCTGGGGTCTGCCCGCCGCCGCCACCCCTGCGTCTGTCGCCCCTACTCGCTATGGGGCCGGTCCCGCACCGGTACCCACAGATAGGGCGGCTCCAGCCCGGCGTTAGGTGTCAGCGATGGTGACGAACTCATTCCGGAGCGTCTGCCTCCGGGTGACAGTGTCACAGCGGTGCTTAGAATGTGCGATGCTGCAGGTATAAAGCGCTGGAGCAGCCTGGGGCTCAGCTGATCCCAAGCAGAGGGATTCATGGAGTCATCGGGAAAGGAGTTTGGGTTTGTCTCTGTGCTCACTGAGCTGTTGGATTAGCGGATTCTCTGTGTGACCCAAATTTGTCGGGCTGCTGGTTGTATCCTCACTCGTTTTTAGTCCCACTGTTATTTCTGCAGAGCAGAATAGTCTAACCCAGAAATCAGTCCCAGCTGAACAGCAGCTAGGAAGATAGGGAAAAAAATACCCTTTATTTTGTGGGGGAGGGCGAGGAAGGAATTAAAATCAATGCAAAGCTCACCACAACTCTTTGTTTCCTTAAAAAAAAAAAAAGGTACTCTTAAAAAGCTGTTTGTGTGAATAGAAAAAAAAAAAAGCCCTTTTAAAGGTTATTCAGAGAAAATAGGCAGTTATGTAAAAGGCTTCGAGAAAGTTTTTCTAAAAAAAAAAAACCTCTGCTATTAGCCAGGAGGCACCTGGCAAACACAGAGTGGTTAGAGGACGTCATCATCAAAGTGAATAGTGAACTGAAACCCAAACAGCTTTTGCTGTTGGACTAGATTAGGTTTTCTATGAGTCAGCCTGGAATTAGTTTGTGTTCGGTACTTACCTGTTCGTGCACCTGGAAGGGTAACAGTGTAGTACAGAGTTGCTTATGCTGACCAGGTTAGCTGCTGCATTTTTAATTGGTGGATATCAGACTGACAGGCTGAGCTGAGACTGTGCATAAACTCCTGATTTTAGGTTAAAGTAGTAAAAAAATCTGCTTAGTCAACACTAAAGCTATTTGCATTCTGTGCCGTTTGCAATGTGAGCAAACAAAAATGCCATTCTGTTTCATTTAGGAGCTCTGGGCTGCAGGGTCCAGCTCTTAAATATCCTTGGCTGTGTTTGTATCAAAATGAATTTCACTGAAACGTCCATAAATCATTTCTGCCAGCGTGAGGCTTCACAGGTAATTGAACAACATTAAGTTCGTCTCCTCTCTGAGCTGCTTTTAATTGCCTCTCCGTGGCAATCACTATATAAGGGTAAGCGTCTCTGGGCTCTGCACTCTCTGCACTCTCCTGTGCAGAGCCCTGCCGACACGGGACACACGGAACAGAGGGGCTGGTGCGCGGCTTCAGCCTTTCCACGTGGCCTCTGGTTCCTCCCCCGGCGTGTCAATATCCCGGTAATGGCTCTCCCAACCCATGAGTGGGTGTCTGCTCCTCCCTCTGTCTCTCCCAAACGTGTTGGAGCAGCTTTGTAGCTTCCTGTCAGAGACTTGGGAGCCCTTACCCACCTCAGCACTTAAGTGGCCTTTCGGGTACCAGGCCAGACTCCCTGCCGTCATCCTGTACCCATGAGAAAGTACCAGGTGATGGGAAGGCAGTGGGTTTCTAAGATAGGGCTTTCTATCCCAGCTCCTCAGTACAGCATCAATAGAAACCACACTTCTTCATTGCCTTTATTCCTTGGCTTTTCTTTTTGCTGCTTGTTCTGAAACAGTTGCTTCAGCACTGCCCAAGGTGGGTGGTGGGCAGCCCAGTCTCTTGCAAGCTTGAAGGTTTACAAATTACCAAGAACTGAGGATAACAAACAACGAAATCGGTACTTAGTGTGATTCCTGCAGCTGGGGTCCGGATCCGCTGCTGACACAACACTGACGTGTCTTGTCTGTGGCTGTCCAGTAAAGCAGGAACAAACTCCACTTTTTAACTGAAAAAAGAAAAAAGAAAGGGTTTCTCTTTGATCACATTCCACTGCGTTTCCCTTCACTTGCATGCTTCAGCGCCGGGTGGACTGTTGGACACAGCCGCGCTGATCCGTCTGTACCCCCGAGCTCCTGTGCTCCCTCTGTTCCACAACCCATCTGGCTGCAGGTGCAGGGCTGGAAACAGGCATTGCTCACACGGCACCAGACTGTTTTCCAGTGCCACTTAACTCTGGCTTATTCCCACAGTGTGGCTGGGGCAGAAGCATTAAAGTACTTTGAGGTGGTGGAGGAAACCAAACACCCTGCAAAGCCTCTTTGCTGCAGCCAGAGGCAAACATTCCCTATTGCCAGCACGTTGCATGATGTTGTAAATGCACAGATCTTTGGCTTTTCCAGAAAGTAGTTATGTTTGAGTCATCCAAGGTTAACCACATACTTGTGCAAAACAGTAAGACAGTCAAGCAAGGAGCTTTCCACAGTTGTTTTTTCCCCTCCTCTCCTGTCCTCTCGTGATAAGCCAGTACAGGAGTGCACTGATGTGTTTTCATGGAAAGATGACAAATTAGACATCTGAGGTCAGTGTTCTTGCAGGGAGCACAAGGTTACCTCTGGCAGGCCAGGCAGAAGGGGCACGTGCAGGATTTTATGCTTTATGTTGTGTGAGAAAAGATTGGAGAAAAGCTTCACGTTACAAACCGACGATAAGAGCAGTTGGGCGCATCCTCCAAAGTTGCCGTCTCAGCAGTGACGAGCCACTCTTCATGTTGTCACCTGTGTCTTCACAGACAGCGTCTCACAGATCACCTCTCCTCCTGAGTGTGCCTACAATATCCCACCAGCAATTACAATAATCACTTAAATGTGAAAGTAATACCAGACAGTGTAGATAGCTATATATAACTGTTACACAGATGGCTGCAGTCACTGCAGGCGCCTCCTCTGCACCGGCTCGGCATGACACGGTGCCCAGCCGAGAGCACGGAGAAAGCAGAAAGGAGCCATCTCTTTCCCAGATGTTTTTTCAGGTGTCCAGACTCTGCAGTGGGCAGCCATGGATGCAGTTGGCAGAAAAGCGGGTGCCGGTGCCAAGTGAGCCTCCGTCTCTGTGCCCATGGCTTGCCAGGGTCACTCGCCATGGGTGTGCTGGGAGAGTTTCAGGGAACAATTACTTGGAGTAGAAGAGGAAGGTTTGGTTTGGCGTTGTTGTCGAAACTGAAGGAGATAGCAGTATTGTGTAAAGCTGCTAAAAATCTTTATTATAATAAATTATTATGTTATTAAAGTTATAATTACTAGGTATCAGCAACGAGTCAAAGTAATACATTTAAAGTATAATTTTTACTTTGATAGTGTCTTTAGCGCGTACGACAAAGCAGGAGAAGCCAAATTGGTTTTCTTACAAATTATCTCTGATCTGTGAACAAATACGCATTAATTAAATGTGCCGTGCCCAGATATTTGTGTACATAGCTGTGGAAATAATTAATTTTCATACTTCGGCTTGTATTTTGAAATTTTTTCTTCTATCAGCCTGATATCTGTGCTTGGAAACGGCCATTTAACTCTCGGGCTTCTTTTCCCCTCTACAAAAATGTGATTTTTTTCCTTACATCTGTTGCAACCATTTCAGCCCTTAAAGCACATAAAACAGAACTGTCTATTGATCTCCTGAGTTGACTGGAATAAACTTTTAGCACTGCTTGGTTTAAAAACAAATTTGTTTCTCCTTGGAAAAATATGTCTTGGAGGTTTAAGGCATTGACTTTACAATTAACTAAAGGAAAAACTGGGGTTTTATTAAACAGTGCTTCTGAAGCCACTCTAATAACAAAACATATGTTTAATAAACTACATAGCATTGATGGCAAGGAGAAAATCTTTGCAATAATTCCTTTGTAATCCGATTGAAATTCACAATCGGTGGAAGAGCTTGCATAGAGGAAAATGGGAGAAGATGAACGTGGCACATCAAAACGCAGAACATGAAAGGACTTTGAAAAGGAAACTTCAAAGTTGGGGATCCAGATGCTGGAGTCGCTAGCTGTGATTTGGGATGTGAGCACAGGAACGTGATTTCTAAAGGGAGCAGCGCTTTTGAGGAGAAAACAGAAAGTCCCGATACCAGCCCGTCAGCTGTGGCAAAGAGAGAGGTGAACGCTGCCTGTACACTCACAGGGATTTCAGCGGAGCTGCTCAGGGTCAGATTTGGGTTTGATCTGAGAGCTCAGCCTGCTGGCATGATGGGGATGAAGTTAATGCTAATGCAGATTTACAAAACTGCCTTGCAGTGACTCCAAAATCCTTTTCAAATGCTTTTCAACCTTGTCTAGGAAACACAGAAACTTAGTGTGGAAGGAGAACTGGGGCCACAGGCAGAAAGCTGATGCTGACTGCGAGCTCCTCTTCCCTGAGATACCCAACCACATGAGCGTCATCTTCAGAGAGGGAGGTGGCCAAGTTGCTGTGGGGATCCGGTGCTGTCACAGCACATGTGTGTAAAACAGCCAAAACAAGCAAAACCAGAGGCATTGGCAGGATTTTGGAGGCAGTGGCTCAGACAGGGAGCAGGGACGCTGAGAACAGCATCACTGCTGTTGGAAGGCTCTGCAGGCTGGCACAGGGTTGGCTCCAGCAAACAAAA